ATTATTATCCTATACTTTTTCTCTCTCTCTTCTCCTCACCACTGCTACCATTTCCACCCCTCATTCCTCTCTTTTTGTCATTGTTTCTCTTTTCCCCTCCCCCTTTTCCCCTTTCCTTGGCTATGATTGAGTTCATATGGAACCCAGCAATGAGTTTGTTGCAAACCGAAACCTTATCTGGGTTCCTTCCGTACCTAGATTGGGGTTTATGAGGAACCCAATGAGGGTTCTTGCAAACCCAGATGATTTGGGTTTGCCTTCTCATTCTCTTTTGTTAAGCGCTCCAACACTCTCTCCTTCTTCTCCTCCTTCTTCCCTTTTCCTCTATATGATAACTTGAAGGTACAGAACACACCTTTCCAATTAACTGCACAAACACCATGAAAAACACACATAATCATTGAAGACGAAACGACAATTAAAATCTATAAAAAATAATAACAAAATTCTTAGAAGAATCTAGGTTTGTGACACTCAAATATGGGTTTTTTGAACCCAAATCTTGTTCGTTGAACCTAGACATGAGTTTTGCTTTCTTTCTTCTTCTTCTTTTTTTCTTTTTTTTTTCAAATCTAGTGATTTTGGATTTTCAAACAGAAAAAGAGAGGGAGGGCTCAAACAACTAGGAAAGGAAAAGGGAGGAAGTGAGTGACTAGAGAAAGAACAGGGAGGGGGGGGATAGAAAATGGTGGAGGAGAAGGGAAGATAATTAAAGAGAGAAGGAAACCCACGAAGAGGATGAAAGTGGGAGTAGAAATGTAGAATTATATTTTTGTCTTCTAATTTGTAAATTGTTCAATGAATGTTGTGATATCTAACTTGGCTTTTTTTTTCACATAAGTTAATTATATATACGGTGTTGTTATACGTCATAAAAAAAAATGTTATTATAAAATATTTTAATTATCAAGTGTGACTTAATTGACAGAAAAATTAAAATTATATAATTTTTGAAGTTAAAAAATAAAAATTACATCAAATAATTAAAAAATAAAAATTATATAACTTTTTAAAGTTAAAATATCAAAATTGACATCTAACCTTACCCATCCTTTTATTAGAGCTCTTTCAAGATAAAAACTAAAAGATTTATGGATTAAAATGACAATATCTTATTGCAGGACACATGTCGTTTCAATATAAAATCGCCCTATCACAAAAAGAAAAATGAAAAAAAGAAGGCATGTTAAAAAAAAAAAAGAAAAAAAGAAGAGCCTAGAAGGATGTGATCTAAAGACGGCCATGAAAATAGGTTGAGGTGGACTCGAAAGGAGAGAGCCAATTGTTGTTTATTTCTTCCTGGGGAAACGCATCGATGGGTTTCTTGGAAATTGCTTCTCCTAGCAAGCTAGTGTTCCTTTCGAATTTCTTGTCAAAGAAAGCATAGCCTTACATTAAATACGTGTTTTCAAAGCTCTTATCCACACAAAAAAGTAGAAAGGAGAAACGATTCTTGTATTCTTCACTTTCATCCTTCCTGGTCAATACATGTCCAAATCCAATTTTTTGTATGATTGTAGAACAAAAATCAATGTTATATTCGTCCCGCACTCGGTGGCCAAATGACCACCCCTTGTAAGGGATGTGCGTAGAACTACAAGGACTTGGGATCAATCCCAAGTCCCCCCATTTTCCCTTCCCCCAAGAAAAAAAAAGGATTTTACACTGTTTAAAAAAAAAAAATCAATGTTATATTCAACAAAGTTACACCTCAATTTTGATACCTTACTTTTGGTATAGACCTTCAATTTAGTCCATAAACTAAACAAATTCATATTTTGATCTTTAAGTTTTAAATTCTAACTTTTTTTTTTGTCCTAAAATAAAAATTTATTTAATTTAGGGATCATATCAAAAGTCCATACAAAAGTTCAGAGATCAAAATTAGAGTTTTTTTGTGATTAAATAAGTTTTTAGGGCTAATATGAAAAATGAATTTTGTCCTCATCATCAAATTTTGCTATATAGAATTTTTATGTCATTAATTTAAAAGAAAAATAGGTTTTAATATCAATTACATGTCATATAAGCCAAAATTTAAGTAAAAGACTGAAAAAGCTAAAATTTAAAACATTAAGAACCAAAAATATGAATTTATTTAGTTTATGAACCAAATTAGTGGTTCGTACATAAATTGAGGGACCCAAAATTGAGGTTTAACCATTCAATACAAATATGGTCTATTTCATTAATCTATATTTGTGTGCGTGAGAAAGTGGACATATAAAATATTTGGTTTTTAGTAAATAATCAAATAATTATTGTCCACATTTTGAGAAAGGAAAATGATGTTAACCAAAAATTAGAAATTTGTGATATTTGTTGATTACTTATTTATTCAAAGCAAAAGTTAGAGGGGCAAAAATAGAATAAAAATTAGGGAGTAATTTGAGTTGGAGGAATTGGGTTTCTTTTTTTTTTTTTTGGTTTTTTCATTAATTTCATAGAAGTTTCAACCCCTAATTTTAACCCTCATAATTTTATGATAATATAAGTTTACTATTCAAAATGGGGGAGACTGCCTCTCTCGTCTTGGTTTGATAATTGGCAAATTGAAGGAAAAGGCGGTTGTTGAGTGGTTTAAGGGGACTTTTTAGCACCATTGAAAGGTACTTGCACATGTAAAGAACTTAATAGTGTGTGACCGTGATGGATGATTAATTGTAGAAGATTATGGCTTGACATTACGAAAAAGAAGATTCACTAATAAAGTTATTCTTGATAATTATGGCTTCATTTGTTAGTGTCATTGTGCTGTTTTGTAGTTGTAATTATAGATTTTTTTTCACCTTCTATTATATCAAAAATATATAAAATTATTAATTAAAATTAGTAAAAAATATATAAAAAATTAATAAAAATTAAATAAAAATTACAATGTGAATTTATATTTCAAATAAGATATTCTGTAAAAAAGCTTTGTGCAAAACATTATCAAATAAAGTCATAAATAAATCCCTTTTTTTTTTCGGTGAAGACCTTCGATAAGAGAATTTCTTCCATACAATTGGGATAACACATCAATTGTATCCCCATCTACTAATATAGTGACAAAATAGTAAATGTGACCACCACTTGTAATAAATTAATCAATAAATTATAATAAATTAATCTCTATAATTGCATATATAGATATAAAAAATATGAAAATCAGAACGTCTTGATGTTTAAGATGCTTATTATAATTATTTGTGAGTGAACCATAACTCTAGGATCTATTTAACAAATGATTGTGATGAATGTCTTGATTGCCAAAACGTCTTAATTTTTTGTGCTCTCTAGAGATATACTTGCTAATTTATCGCTATATCATCAAATGGGGATACTACGTCGCATGGAAGAAACGGTCGTGGAATGGTTTCTTCGGAGTTCGGTCAAGACTCAAGGGACGAGCAAAAGAGGCCCATGCTGCATCAGCAAATGGGTTGAGTGAGGCGTCCTTATTTTAAGCAGTCCAATTATTAATTTTAGAAAATTGGATTCAGTGAGGCCCATGAAAAGCTTAAGTTTTAGTTGGACTGTAGTTCTCTTGTTAAATTATCTGGGCTGAACAATTTTTTTCGGCCCGAATAACAAATTGGGTTCAGGGTCATTCGGTTTGGATTTTGATCGATTGGATTGGATTTGGATTTGGATTTTGGACTATTCACATGGCCCAATTTTGAAAATACGTTTCATTTAAGATCATGGACAGGAACAGGATCATACCACATCGCAAAAGAAGGGGCCCACCATAACCGTGGATTTAAAATAAATTTATCATAGGATAATGATTTTTTTTTTTTTTGAACAAGATTACAAATATGGGAGAGGGGGACTCGAACCTCAATTCCCAAGTTGAAGGGATGCACCTTACAAACCAGTTTAAAGTCGTTGAACCGTGAGGTCCAGCTGCATAGGATAATGATGTATGAATAATTTTTTTTATAATGTTTTTATATAATTTTTATATTTCATTAAATATGTAAATACATATTAATAATTTATTAATTTCAGTGAAAAAATTCAATTTTTTAAAATAAAATTTTGAGTTTGAATTTCAAACCCAATTTTTCTTAAATAAAATTTTAAATTTAAATTTTATAAATAAAAAAAATATTGAGAGAACTTTTTTAATTATAAGTCTAATGCAACAACAGTTCAATTTCAAATTAATCAAGATTTAATGTAATTTTTTAATATTGAAACATTAATATAAAAAATAAAAATATATATTCAATATTATAAGTTTTAAATTAATTAAAAAATTAATTATTTAAATAATATATAAAATTATACGTAAAAATAATAAAAAAAAAGTTATCCTCGATTATTTTATCATGACAAACTCATGGAAAAAATGATGCACAACACTCTTGTTCTATTCCTACCCGTTGGATTGTGGGTCCAGCTTTCTCATCAGACGGCATGTAATCAAGAATGTAGCGAACAGGTTTTCTTAAAGATACTCGACCCCTCCAACTTCCCCGGCAAGTTCTGGTCTCGTTCCTCTACATCCCTCCCCATGGCAGTTATTTTGTAGTCCACTGTATACGATGCCACGTTAGCCGTACTTGGAAACTCTTTAACATTTTCCTTGCGCACCACGGCCGGTGGAGAAAGAGTAATAATAAATTAATAATTATGAAATTAGGATTACCAGTTGTATTTATAAAGAATTAAGTGAAAAGATACTTGAAATTATATTATTTATTATGAGAAAAAGATTTAAAAATTTTTATTTTAAAAAAAATATATTTAAAAATTTTTAATAACATATTACTAAAATGATAGATTTTTTAATATTTTTTGTTTAATTTTCAAAAATATAATTGATAAATATTTTCTCATAATTTATTTATATAAGAGTCATTTTTTAATAAATTTTACTTATAAATAAATGAATGTATCTAATCTTACGGTTTTAATAGAATGAAAAAATTAGTAATAGCTAAAATGACTATGTAAAGTAATTAGTATCCCTAAATTAATTGTAATAATTTTGCAAGGGAAAAGATATGATTACAAGAGAATTTAATTTTTTAAAACCCAAAATTGAGATTTTGGATGTATTTGGGATGATAGGTAGGGGTTGTTTTTATGAGTGTGTTTAATAATTTTTTTTTTAATTTATAAAAAATTATGGTAAATTTATAACATTTTTATATAAAATTACAAGTGTCATTTAAAAAATTTTTTATTATGATTTTATAAATAACACTAATATTTAATATAATTATAAAATTATTTATTAAAATTCAATTTCATTTAATTTAATTACATTATAATTTATAATATTTTATTTAAATTCAAACTTTTATTAATTTAAACTTTTCATAAAAAATTAAAAAATTCATTTCCTTTTCATTGAATTGTTTTCTTAAGAAATCTAAAAGAATATTCATCATAACAAATTTAAAATATTTAAATTATTAAAAATTAATATATACTATCTATTTTAATAATTATATATCATACAATATTTTTAAAATTTTAATTAATAATTAATAAAAAAATTATACATCATCTACAATAATTTAAAAAAATAAAAAACCAAAGACTCAAATAAACAGCTACAATTCAATACGTCACCTCACAGCAATTCCGAACCAATTCATCTTTATCTTCATTTTAGGTGATGTCGAACTAGGCGCGAAGCCGATACGTAAAAATTACAGTTTTCTCTGCAATTTTCTTTTCTCTCCAAACAGCAAGTTTAGCTGTTGCCCCAAAAGTAGGCATTTTTCTGTCTCCGATTCCGTGGGTGGAGCCGCCTACCATGAGCCGATCCTCAATAAAGCCGCCGCAGCCGCCGCCGAATCCATCCAAGTACGTACGCTTAGCAATATTCTGTCCGCTTCTGTCTCTCTCCCTCCCTAGTCTAGTCGTTTCCCTTTAAATATGTTGTCTTGTAGCTTTTTCTTTCTCACTTTCTCACTGGCCAAACAGGAAGCGACTCTCTACCGGTTCGGGTTCTGGTTTTGGTTCGTCGTTCATGGACTCCGACGCCGACGTGATCGAGATTCCGCCTCCGTTTCCTCGGGGATATCGGTCTAGACAGAGACAGGTTTAGGAAAAATCATCCCTTTTCATCTTCGTTATTCGTTGTTTCTGTCTTTTGATTTCAGAGGCAGTAAAGAATTATTCTTTTTGTTGTATTTTACCCCTATCGTTCTTTGATTTTTGAGTTTCAATGAATGAGATTTATCTTCTTCTGGAAATGATCGCTTTCTTTTTTTGTTGTTTTGATTTTTTCTTTTTTAAATTATGATCAATGGCTTCTTTTAAAACCAAATTCAATCGCTTTCTTGGATTTTTGTGTAGGGTTTTAAAGGGGTTTAATTTTGCTCTAAACGTTTTATGTTACTTTGAAAATTTTAAGAATTGGTGTCATATGATGAATGTGTACGGTCCAAATTTCCTTTCGTGGGTAAATACATGTGTTTATTAGCTAATTGGGTGAAGAATAATTATTAGATGCATAAGAATGGTTACTCCTTAATCTGAGAAGATTAGATACTTTTGAAGCTAAAACCCACTTGCAAACATTGTTGTGTTAATGGACAGGCATTGTATACTGCCCAAGCAGTGGTAATTTATGGAAATATCTGTTGACAGAACCCAGTTGTTGAACATGGTTCCTGACTGCTTTTAAATGGGAATGAAGCACGCTTTTGTCCTTATCAATCTGGCACTTTATGAAGGGTGTGGATGTGTCTTAGTTAATGTAGAGGAAATGAGTTCATCTAGATGGCCATGATTAGTTTGAGATTAAAGTTTAGATGGAATTATTTAGCTTTAGGATTGGCTAATCATTTCATTGCCAAAGTAAAGAATGCATATCAAGTAGCTTACTGCATTTTTAATGGTGCCTTTTGCACTTTTAACTATTCTGTTCTGTTCCTAGTGTTGTCTACCGATTCCTCTAATTAGTAGTTCTTGCTTCGACATGAAACTCATCTCTTTGGTTACTGGACTGTTTCATCCTTTTGCAGGCTATCATTCATGACGTGATTGATATAGACAAAGATGACAAGTCTGCTGATATCATGATCCTTGATGTGAAACCAGACAAAAAGAATAAGGGGAAGGCATTAGAAAATAACTCTGGTGGTTATGGTAATCTTCAAACTAAGGTATAAGATCTGGATAGACTGCTGGCTGGCATCACCTTGTGTTAGTCTCTGTTCCATGTGCTTATATATAACATGGTGTACTCTGATGGAATCTCTTTTTATTTACTTTCAGGATTCTCTTGAAGCAATGAAAAAAGCTGATTCTGATTTATCCTTTGATGACCCTTATTTTGAATTTATTACTGATTTCATGGATGCTGAAGACTTGGCAATGATACAAGCTCATTTTGATAGTGTTGATCTTCCTGCCGGAGTAGAGGCACCACTCCCTTGGTTTCCAGATTTCTCTCCAAGTAAAAAGAGAACTTTTGAGGGAAATAGTTCATCAGGTGATCATGGGAAAGAATCAGTGAAATCTTCGTCATTGGGGTCATCAGCACCTTCTCTTGTTGACAACAAGGCAAATTCATTTGGTAGTGCAAGTTTGCAGAACCCAGTCAGTGCAATTCATCCTGTTGATCTAGGTCAGCCTTCACCTTTCCCATTTCTATCCCCTCCAGGAGGTCCCAAAAATGAGAACAAATCAGCTGTTTCAGACCATAGACGGAGCAATCTAAATCATCCATTTGTGCACTCTTCTCTAGGTAGTATTTCAGCTAATGCCAATTTATATCAATCCAGTGCAATGATGCCACCTTCTGCAGTTGGGCCACCTAACTTGGGACATCTTATTCCTCCTGTAAAGGCAATGGGTAGTGCTGGCAATTCATCTTTTCCAAATGTGTTTAATGTAATGAACCCACTGAATAATCCTCAGCTTGCTGAACCTGCTATGTCTCAGTGGAAGCAGACTATGCAATCAGCTTTTGTTAAGCTTAACCCTCTTGTAGGTTTTCATGATCAAATTGATGGTGTAGACATTTCTCCTCAAGAAGTGGCTGACATTAGAAATCAAAAGGCTGTAAATGAAGAAGACATTCTCAGGAAGTTCAAACTTTTTAAAAAGTTTGATACTGTTAAAGACTTTTCAGACCACCATTATTCTAGTAATGGAGTGAAGCAGGTAACTAGCCTTTTTGAGCATGCAATGATATATATATATATATATATATATAAAGTATTTTTTGTTGTTTTTATTTAACTCTCTAATCTATAACCCTGTTTTTTGTTTATCCTCTTTTTAACAGCCTGCAAAGAATTGGGTCAAGAAGATTCAGGATGAGTGGAGAATTCTAGAAAATGATTTGCCTGGTAAAGTTTTATTTTTCGTTCCTTGTTCTGTCCTGAAATCGTTATTTGTTCATATGACATGGGATTCTTTATTTGGATTAATCCCTTTTTAGAGAATCTGTTGTTCAGTAGATTTTGTAAATGCATACTGTCACTCGAAGTGACATCTGAGTTCCTAGCTATAACTGTACTGTAGTAAGAGTGTCACTGAAAATGTTTAGGTTCTCTCCCCACTTGTCTGTTAATTTTGTTACCTTAAAGCTTCGGATATCTTTCTTACATTGTCCCATGTTATTGTTTTGGCAGATACCATATTTGTTAGGGTTTGTGAGACAAGAATGGATCTTTTGAGGGCCGTAATTATTGGAGCAGAGGGTACTCCTTACCATGATGGTCTCTTTTTCTTTGATGTGTTCTTCCCCTCTAGCTATCCACAAGTACCACCGGTATGTGATTTAGGTTCATGAATGTTCGGTACCATATATCTTGTTGGATTATTTTCATTTTTTGTTGGACATATTTGGTCTGATGTCACCTAGAAATTGCTTGTGCTAGAATGTCTACTACCACTCTGGCGGACTTCGACTAAATCCAAATTTATATGATTGTGGTAAAGTATGCCTAAGTCTTCTTAACACCTGGTCTGGAGATAAGAATGAAATGTGGATCCCGGGTATGTCTACAATGTTACAAGTTCTTGTCTCAATTCAAGCTCTAATCTTGAATCAGAAGCCTTATTTTAACGAGCCTGGTCATGCATATTCGAGTGGCACACAACATGGTGAAATGATGTCCCAGCATTATAATGAGCGTACACTTGTCTTATCACTGAAGACAATGATGTACACAATGAGGAGACAACCAAAGGTAGGTTGGGACAATTATTATATGATTGTGTTTTCCTCAGAATTCTCCTTTCTTTTCACATTTTCTGCAAATCTAATGGAACCTTTTTTTTAATAACCTCTACTAGCAGACTATTTTGTAAATGAAGTTAATGATTTATACTCTTTTGTTGCCTATCCACTTAGCTACCATTTAGCCTTGTTAGCTAGAGCTTTTTAAATAATATTGTTGTACTTTATCTTGAATTTCAATTCCATTTTACAGTCTGAAGTTTTATTGCAGCATTTCGAGGACTTTGTTGTGGGCCATTTCTACATTCGTGCAAATGATATCATTGTTGCATGTAAAGCATACCTAGACGGTGCCCAGGTAGGCTGCAGTCTGGTGAAAGGTGGCATTCAGGATGGTGATGAGGGCAACAATATTTGCTCGAAAGATTTCAAGGACTCTGTAGCACGGTGTGTAAATTTGCTGGTGAAAGAATTTACGATTCTTGGAGTCAAAGACATGGAGAAATTCCTCATCGATATCAAAAGTGTGAAGAACCAAACTGCTAACACGCCCACTGCTAGACGAAAATCCTCATCGAAACCCAAAGTGTAAAGAACTGAGCTGGTAAACATGCCAAAGGCTGCACTCGTAAATAATCCATAGTGAGTTACGATTTTTAGAACTTGACATGGAGTTTTCCATTGGAATTTTCGAATTAGTTTCTTGACTTCAGTTGTGGAGCATCAAATGTAATCCCTCGTATGCTTTGCATAAAACGTTGGGAGGTTACTTGTATATGGGTATATATAAATAAATAGCTCGTAGAGGTATTTTGGATGACTTTTTAACGTTAAGATCTTACATTTATATTGTGTTAATCTTAGATTTTGATGTTCAAAATTATTCGGCAAAACCATAAGTTAAGCCCCTGAACTAAGCCCAGAATCGCTATTAAGCCCCTAGACTTTAATTGATGTAGTTAAGCCCTTGAACTCTGGGATCAAAGCAATTAAGCCCTTCTTCTTAAGCAATTTATTTTAAAAATTAAAGTCTAGGGGCTTAATAGCGTAAGAAGAAGGGTTTAATTGCTTTGATCCCAGAGTTCAAGGGCTTAACTGCATCAATTAAAGTCTAAGGGCTTAATAGCTATTCTGGGGTTAGTTCAGGGGCTTAACTTATGGTTTTGCCAAATTATTTTGGTCTGAACTCTGAAGGATGTTGCTTTCCTTAGGGGCGGTGGAAGAATCAAAGGACAAAGGTTCAAATCTGCTTCTCCCCTAAACGAAGAAAAGATGCAAATCAACATGAGTAAATGAGAGAGGAAAGAGGCTGTTATAATCCTTTTAGTTTACAATATTACATGATATTCGAATTATATTATTTTTGTTATGATTTTGAAATTAATTGAGATTTAATTAAACTTTTTCAAGATTTAAGCTCAGTTTTAATTTCATTCATTAAAAGGGGTGAAATGAGCTGTAATTTATAATCACAAGAAAAAAAGAAAGAAAGAAAAGAGAACTGAATTTATATCCATGCATGGTTTTCTCTGTGACAATGATCATCAAATACGAATAAGCTGGTGCTCAATCATCCAAGACACACTTTCGGCAAACAGGACAAGTCAAGTTGTCCAACAACCAGTTGTCTATACAATTCAAATGAAACATGTGCTTGCAAGGAGGAAAAACCCGATACAATTCACCAACCATGTAATCATCCAGGCAAATGGCACAGTCTCCAGATCTCAAGGGCAATTTACCACTGCCATAAACCATAGGGGGCAACAGTTTTTCCAGTGCCTGTTGCCTCAGCGTTCGCCTTTCGTCCACAGTATCCAATGGCTGCAAATAGTTAGGGATGACTGCTTGATATGTCACTATACGAGCATGATTAATCCCTCGACCAAGTCCTCGACCAAGCTCTGGATCGCAGTCGAATCTGTCAAATAAGGGCCAACAGACGCATTCACAGATTATGTAGATGAGGAGAATGACAAATGAAGCGGCTATCACGCACACTGCCATGAGGCAAAACAGGATGATGACAACAATGCCAACGGAGGTGATGAAGGAAAGAATCAGAGGGGAATCAGGGGATTGCATGGCAACGTTGGCAAAGCCTTGAGGTACCATCTTCTTAAGTTTTCTCTACAAATGCAGCTGCATATATAAATGGATGCAGGCTTGATTTCTTCTTCTTCTTTTTTTTTTCCCCTTTATGATGCAGGTTGCTGTTGGATTAATCTTAGGAAATTTTTCTCCGAGGAATAAATACTAAAGAAAGAGCAGGAGATTAACAGTTGTAGCAGTTGGAATCAACAAGTTTGATGTCTAATCTTAGGAATTTGGTCGAAGAAACGACCTGCCTTCTACCTGGAAATATTATCTGTCAGGTAGATTTAGGGAGTATTTTGTTAATTAGATTGTGTCAAAAAAACATTGACTTATCTATTTACCTAAAGCCTTGTCATTTAAACAATATATCTGTTGGAATTTGGGGGACAAGCTATCGGTATTGACAAAATTCTTTCCAGCTAAAAGAGTCGTGATTTAATTAATTAGTAAAACAATATATTTTTCACTTTGTTCATTAAAACTTAATTTTAAAAAAATTAATGAAAAAATAATTTCTCATAAATTTCTTAATCCTAACATAAATGATATGTTTTTAACTAAAATGATAACTTGCTTTTAATTGAATTGAGGAGAAATTAGCTTTAAAATTAATCCAAATTGGCAAACAATGCCCAAATAGCTAAACCACAAAAAAAAAAAATAAAAAAAAATAAATAAATAGAGGAGGTCTCCACGGTCCACTTATGCCAAATTAGTAAATGATAATGTAACATGGTGTCAATCTCCTTTTTTTAGGGTAAGGAGTTTCAATTTAATTTATAAAGGAGCTTACTCTTCACCTTATTGATTAAGATTTGATTCTTTAAAAAATTAATAAAAATATAATTCTTTATAACTTTTATAGTTTTAACGACAATGATCTTCTTTTAAACTAATTTTAATGTGTGTACAAATTGATTTAGAACACACTTACGGATTAAAAAAAATCCATTCATTTTTTTTAACATAATATGATGCTTATTGTACACAAATAATAAAAAAAAAAAAAAAATTTTTTTTAACATAATATGATGCTTATTGTACACAAATAAAAAAAAAAAAAAAAAAAAGGAATTCTAGAGGAGTTAAAAGGAAGCACTTTTACTTAAATTCACCAGAGTTTGTAGCACATACGGCTTTCTGATTGTTTGGTAAATTTATCAAGAGATAGTTCCATATAGAAACTAGGGGTTGCGTTCTACTTCAGGATCAACAGAAAACACTGCAGATATTCCGAAAAGCATTGGCACGACAAATGGGGCACTTATTATTTTGGCGCAACCATTCCTTAATACATAGAGTATGAAAATCGTGTTTGCACCTCGACAGAACCCAGAGCACCTCTCCCTTTCTGTAATTCTCCAAGCATATGGCACACTTACCGGCAGTATAACTCGACATCACTGGCTGATCACCGGTACCAACAGGGCTCCAAGTTTCTTTCACAGCGACCACGCCGAGTTCAAGATCGGGGTCTACTTTGTTTCTGATGCACCGGAAAGACCAGAGGCGATAGCAGCAGATGAACAAGAAGTAACAATTAAGGACTAGAGCGACGTAAAAAATTATGTTGATAAGAGTACTATCCCAGTATTTATCATAAATTTGATCACCAACATGGTGAAGAGTAGAACGAAGCATGATTTTAATTTCTTCTTATTTCCTTCGATTAATTTTCAATATTGATTCATTCATACGGAATTAAATTGCATTATATATAGACGCAGCTGAAAGTAACCTTTTCCTTCTTGGTTTTTTTGTTGGGAGAAATAATCTGGATGAGTCCTCTTATAATTAGAAATTAGAAATTAGATTAACCCATCTGCTATATACATGGCAATGCTATAATTACGAGAGCAAGTAGGATTATAAGTTTACAGCTATTAAAAAATTATTGTTTTTTTATTTGAAATTAAAAGTAAACTTAAAAACTATATGTGTTATTATGAATGAATTTTTAAAGAGAAAAATTATATAAAAACGTATCATACTGTAAGTTTGAATAGTTGTTCTCAAATTTGAATAAACTATGCAAATTTGAGCCAATTTAATTAGATTCTAGGGATGTTGGCATGATAATAAGTTTTCTTAGATATTTTGTTGGATACTAATTGATATATATTCTAATTTAACATATTACAAAATATATTTAATTATTAAAAAATTATTGTTTTGGATTTAAAATTAAAAATAAATAAATTTAAAATATATAAAATGCTAAAATTGGTTGAATAAGATTAAACTTATTTAATAATTTATTTTTAATAATTAAATTGAATAAATATTGAAAAATGCATTAAAGTAAGAGTATATTAATCATTTTCCTATTTGCTTATGTTTTTTCATTGATCTTTAGTTTGCATTAAAATTTTGCAGCAGATTATTTGCACAGACAACTTTGCTTGATATTCCAGCTGATGCGTACTAACAGAACAGAGGATACCTCTGTTTTTCCCTCTGTTAATATAAACACCAACCAAAACATGCAAAGACACCCTTGATTTCACCTTGTACATACAGGAAATTAAACAACAACAATATGTGCAATTTAAGTAAACTCCTTCATAGTATTTAAGCTGCCATTGTTAACCTGAATGTTGGTTGCTCTTAAGTGATTTCTTCTTTCCATTCTTCTTCTCCTTCCAACCATAATGATCGTGCTTGAAAACATCCAAGACCTCCGTGTGGACACCGGGATTATTGGTTTTGTAGTAGGTCTCGAGCACGAGAGAGTTGTTGATTGCTTGGAAATTATCGTTTAAGTACAAATACCAGTTAGTCTCCTCCATGGACAGCCAGTGTCTCCCGCCAGATGTCTGGCCCATCTCGCCCCGCATGGTGGCTCCGTGGTTGGTCCCCGCCAGTGTGATTATACTTGCACCACCGTGGTCCTCATCCTCCTCCTGGCAGCTTGAACCGGGATTGTGAAGCTCAGTGGCGTGGTTGGTTATGGCAGATACCACGCCTCTGATTTCCTGGTCGAGTTGGCGGTGTTTCTCCCCTTCAGTTGAGTGGCTACCGACCTTCAATGTTTCGGAAAGCATGGTTTTGAGATGAGACAAAGAGGTAGATATTGGGGGATATATAAGGTTTTTGTTGGAACAAAAAGAAGTGCCTTCATGGCAACTCAAAGATATTTAGTAATTTATTCAAAGCTAAAAAAAGGAGGAGAATTACTTGATAATGGGTTATTCTTTAACAGAATTTATTTTGCTTTTTTTTTTTTTTTGAACTTTTTTACTTTCATTTTTTTTTGCCAGGTGCTTTTGTCCCTCTTAAATCTCCTCTCTTCTTATGGACTGAGGTTTAAGGATGTTAACATTTCCAACCTCTTCGGAATAAATGATCTTTGAGAAGGCACTTCACGGAAAACCCACTGCCATGGAGCCAACAGAAGCTTATTATGAAGTTTGTTTTTTATTTATTTATTTATTTATGCAATTATGAAGTTTTTGAGGAGTGCTATATGCACTAGGTGTTGCTGAACAAGCACTTCTCTCCTGATTAAAAAAATGGGGTATTCAGGCCCAAGTGCAAAATTATTGCCCACTGCATTTAGCATTCCATTCTCCAACTTTTACTTCTCCGGTCTATGTAAAAAAAACTTTTATTTCTAGTCACTTTTCGTAAGTAAAATACATCACTAATCAAAGAGTAACTTCTGAAAATAACAATTTGGATGGAAGTAATACTATTTTTTACGTTCAAATAATTTTTGTTGGCATTAAATTTAGTAGATTGATGTAATAGGTTGACACAAGTTGAGAATATATTTATTATATTAATTTACATAAAAATATAAAAATTGATATTAATTTTATTTAAATAAATTTAATTAGACAGTTAAGATTAATATCAATTTTTATTTTTTATATTAATTAAAATAATAAATACAAT